TGATCAGGGAGAGTTCAGCCCTGAGCAAATGGCATCTTCCTTAGGCACAGCTTTGGGAGATGCTGGAAAATGTATTCCTAAAGGTGGTTAACACCATGGCAGGAGATTCTGCTGGGAAACTTTCCCCTGTCTTGCTGCAGAGACATCTTGACACATGCAACTCTGGGTGAGAATAAATCCCTGCAAAATGAGCTGGGAGAGTTGCTGAGAAAGGAGGAGAAATGTTCTGTGCCTGTCAGAGCTCAGTGTTTGAGCCTCCCTGGAGCACAGAGCTCGAATCTACAGCTCCCCACCTGTTTGTTTGGATCCATTTTGGGAATGCAGGTTCTTTTCATGGGATTAGGGTTAGGAGGGAGAGAGCCAGCCCTTGGTTTTTTCCTTTTTTCTGTGGTTAATGCAGGGGGATATGGACACCTCTGTGCTCCAGGATCCTTTCAGAGCTGTAACCTGGGAGCCTCATGGGGAGCAGAAGGAGTCAAACCCTGGGCTGGGCTGGTCAAGGATTGAGGAGAGGTCACTCAACACTGCCAATAAATAATATATTTTTGTTTATTGTCAGTACTGAGTGACCTCTCAGGTTTTGGTGAACAGCAGTGAGGCCCAGCCTTGGATATCAAATCCCAGCAAGGTTTGCTCCATCCCTCCAGTGAGAACAAAGCTTTTCAAGCTTGTTTGGATGCATTTTGGGAATACAGGTTCTTTTCATGGGGTTAGGGTTAGGGCTAGGAGAGAGAGAGCCAGCCCTTGATTTTTTCCTCTTTTCTGTGGTTGATGCAGGGGGATTTGGACACCTCTGTGCCCCAGGACCCTTTCAGAGCTGTAACCCAGGAACCTCATGGGGAGCAGAAGGAGTCAAACCTTGGGCTGGGCTGGTCAAGGATTGAGGAGAGGTCACTCAACACTGCCAATAAATAATATATTTTTGTTTATTGTCAGTGCTGAGTGACTTCTCAGGTTTTGGTGAACAGCAGTGAGGCCCAGCCTTGGATATCAAATCCCAGCAAGGTTTGCTCCATCCCCCCAGTGAGAACAAAGCTTTTCATGTTTGTGTGGCTCCATTTTGGGAATGCAGGTTCTTTTCATGGAGGGGGGGTTAGGAGGGAGAGAGCCAGCCCTTGGTTTTTTCCTTTTTTCTGTGGTTGATGCAGGGGGATATGGACACCTCTGTGCCCCAGGACCCTTTCAGAGCTGTAACCCAGGAGCCTCATGGGGAGCAGAAGGAGTCAAACCTTGGGCTGGGATAGTCAAGGATTGAGGAGAGGTCACTCAACACTGCCAATAAATAATATTTTTTTTGTTGTTGTCAATACTGAGTGGTCTCTCAGGTTTTGGTGAACAGCAGTGAGGCCCAGCCTCAGATTGAACCACAGCAAGGTTTGCTCCATCCCTCCAGTGAGAACAAAGCTTTTCCTGCACAGGCTCTGCAGCTGAACCTTGGGCTTGTTCAGGCCGTGTCTCTGAAGGGCTGGGCTGGGCTCTGGGTGCTGGGTTTGGAGCAGGCCCAGCTCCAGCTCCTGCTCCTGCTCCTTGCCCGCAGCCGCATTGGGGGGAATGCAGCGCCCTGGCTCTGGGAACTGCTCCTTGTTTCCCTTCACCCCATCCATTTCCTTCAGCCCAGGCAGGTTTTTTATTAAGTAGATTATATGTTTGGCTCAAGAGGAGCTTTTCTTCCCCAAGGAAAAAAAGAATTCTGTTGGCATGAAAAGTCCTTTTATCCACTCCTGTCTCCTGCTTTGCCCTGGCTGCTCTCAGAGCACCTTGGAGATACCAGTGGGGGGCTCTGCTTCCCTTCTGTCCCCCACCCAAGAGCAATCAACAGTTTGCTTTTCCCTGGCTTCTGAGAAGTTTCTGATAGAAGAATTTGCCTTTCTGTTGAAGCAAACTGGAGTTACTGGAGCCACATGAGTTGCTCTGGAATTCTCCTCTTTGCCAGGAGCTTCCCAGTGAGCCCTGGTTCAGACAGGCCTTTCCTCCCTGGCACACACAGAAAAATTGCAGAGTTCCTGCCTGCAGCTTGAAGGTTCTGGCCAACAATACCTGGAAAACCCCTCAAGGGTCTCTGCTGAGAGGTGCAGAGAAGGACAGTGTGTGCTGAAGGCTCCATTCTCTTTGTTCCAGCTGCTCTCTAACCGTGGGGATTTTTGAGGTGCAAACATAAGAATTCAAGTTAAAAAAGAGCATTTGTCTCAGAGGGGGGTGAAGCTGTCTCAGGGTGAGGAGAAGCCGTGGGGCATCCCCTCCTTTAGCAGGAAATTTTGGCTTTCTGCAGAGAACAGATAAGGATCTCACTCTGTCTCCAAGCTGGGGCTCTGGTATCATACCTTGCAGGTAAACTGATTTTTTTGTTGTTGTTGTTTTTTAATCCTACAAATGAGACTGAGCAGACATGACCTGCTTCTCTGCTTTCCCTCTCAGTTTCAGGCCAGATAACTCACTCAGAAGTTTACAAAACCAGTTTTAGTAGTGCATTGAAGTGTTTGTTTGCTTTGTAGCTTCTGGAAGCAAAACTGCCATAGCCTAAATCTTGGAATTGAGACCTCAAAAATGAGTCTAACAGGAACAAAGTTCAGTTTTGTTGTATCTAAATCAAACTGAAAAGAACCTACACAGTGAAATGTGTGTGGGTTAAATGTTTTTAATTTGTACCTCGAGCTTTTGATAAGTAATAAGGGAGATGCTTTAAAAGACCATTTCCTTTTAAGTAGACATGAAGGCAGGAATGTGCCCTGGGTGCTCTTTGCCATCTCAGATTTTCATAAAATCTCCTTTATCACCAACCTTTGTTCCCCCAAGTGTGTGTATTTTTCAGAATTGTCTTTTCTGCACTCTGCTGACCATGGGAAAACACTGATCTTGGAGCTGTTTGAAGTGCATGTTACTGGAGGGGTTTTTGCCTTTCATTTCAACATTTCCTCTCAAAATCTTCAGAATTTATGGATATTCTCCACCCTTCTCAACACAGATCAGCCTGCCCTGTCCCTTTTCTGTCCTGTGTCCCTTTGCTGAGCACCTGGTAGGAAGCTCCATTTGCTCATGGTTCTTTTCAAAGGTCTCTCACTCCACAGCTCCTCAGCTTTTGATCACAGAGTTACAGAACCATGAAATACCTGAACTGGCAAGGGCCCACCAGGACCATCCAGTCCAATTCCTGCTCTTGTGGAGACATCCCAAAAATCCAAATCCTGAGCTCCTGGCAGCTTCAGGAGCCTGGGCAGTGCCCAGCACCCTCTGGGGGCAGAACCTTTCCCTGTACCCATCCTAAACCTCTCCTGAGCCAGCTCCAGCCCTTCCCTTTGCTCTCAGCACTGGCTTTTCACTGCAGCTTTGAATCTGTTGGTTCCAAACTAACCAGCACCCACCTTGAGCCTGTCTGAAACAGCTCACAGCAGCAGCTGGAAAAGGAGGAGCAGAGTCCAGAGAGAATTAAGTGAATAGTAATGCAATTAAGGCTGATTGATTTACCCAGCTCTCTGGGATAAGGGCTAATGGGTGTCTTCCTCCTAAAGGAACCCTGAGGAAATCAGGACCAGCTTGTTTTTCATTAAGCTCAGGGTAACATGGCCCCACACACAAGCATTGAGGGTGATTTTGTGTGTGACTTTACACTGAGAGGATTTAGATCAGCTTGGGCAGGGTTAACTGTGGCACTTGGATCTTTTCAAACCCTTCTTCACACCCTCCCTACCTGAAAGCCCATTTCTGCAGCGGGTAAGGACACGTTTTGGATTCCCTCTGGGAAGGCTGGGAGAGCTGATGAAAGCTGCTGAAAACCCAGCTTGCTGCTAAACAAGCCCCACCCTTCTTCTTGACATTGTTGGATTCCTCTTTGTTCCCAAGGATGGCAAGGCCTGAGGATTTGCTTACAGTTTTTCAGGCAGCTTGAGAAAAGTACAATGACAGCTGGGAGGTGGAAAAATGTGGGAATCTGCCTCAGAGTTTCTCCTTCTCTTTATCCAAATAATCTTTGTGGAGAGCAGGCAAAAAGCCAGGAATTTATTTGACCCAAGGTAGTGTCTCAGATCAGGAAAGCAGTTATTAAATAAGTGGCTGATCTAGCTGGGCGTGCACGCTTGGCTCGTGCACTCAGCTGGGATTGGGTTTGCTTTGGCCTCTGCCAGCTGCTCATCCCTGGTCAGCAGGGAGCCTGGACACTCAGCCCAGGTGCAGTCAGGTCAGTCAGTTGGAGGAATTGTTGATTTTTGGGTTGAGTCTGACCCGAGATTGGGCTGGGAGAGGATCTCAGTCAGATCTCGCTCAGATCTCACCCAGATCTCACCCAGTTTGCAGGCATGACTTGGGTCAGGGCTGGTGGTCCCTGGCCTGCCCAGATTAGGCAGCTCCAGGGAGCCTGGACACTCAGCCCAGGTGCAATCAGGTTTGAGGAATTGTTGATTTTTGGGTTGGGTCTGACCCAAGGTGGGGCTGGGAGAGGATCTCAGTCAGATCTCACCCAGATCTCACCTGGATCTCAGTCAGATCTCGCTCAGATCTCACCCAGTTTGCAGGAATGATTTGGGTCAGGGCTGGTGGTCCCTGGCCAGCCCAGATTAAGCAGCTCCAGGGAGCCTGGACACTCAGCCCAGGTGCAATCAGGTCAGTCAGTTGCAGGAATTGTTGGGTTTGGATTGAGTCAGTTGCAGGAATTGTTGGGTTTGGGTTGAGTCTGACCCGAGGTTGGGCTGGGAGAGGATCTCAGTCGGATCTCGCCCGGTTTGCAGGCATGACTTGGGTCATGGCTGGTGGTGATTGCAACAGGGGCAGGCAAAGGGCTGCCTGGACAGGCACCTCCTGGAAAGGCTCCTCTGCCTCCACAGTCTGTTTCATGCTGAAATTGGATTCTTGCAGGTCTGGAATACTGGGTATGACTTGTGCTGTTTGCAGAGCCGGTTCTTCCAGAGCCTGAGAGCGGCTCTTGAAATGGAGAATTTAAAGAAGGTTTCCTCTCCTTCCAGCTTTTGCTCTCTGTGGGTTTTAAGGGGTTGATCTTGTTTTGATTTCAGCTTTGACATGTCTGTGCTCTGACTGCAAACAAGCCAACTCCACGTGTGAGACGGACGGGGCCTGCATGGTCTCGGTCTTCAACCTGGATGGGGTCAAACACCACGTTCGGACCTGCATTCCTGAGGCAAAATTGATTCCTGCTGGGAAACCCTTCTATTGTCTGAGTTCAGAGGATCTGCGTAATACTCACTGCTGCTACTCCGATTTTTGCAACAAAATTGATTTAATGGTTCCCAGTGGTAAGTAGAGAGTGAGATAAATCATGTGTTTGAAGTGGGAGGAGAGGAGCTGTCTGTTTGGGATTGGAAATTTGGAGTTCTCAGCCCTGTTTTCACTTCTTCCCTTCAGTTGCTGCATGAACTTGAGCTCTGGGTTTATTTCCTTCATCTGTAAAGTGGAAATAACAAACTATTTCAAATTCAAATGGGGTTTGTGTGTTTTCCCTTTGTCACTGAGCTGGCCCTGCCTTTATCAGCTGGTGTTGCTTCCCTTCCAAGACTCCAAATCTTTTCAGTGCTGAGCACAAGTAGAGGAGCATTGCAGCAGCTTCAGAGCAAAGTGTGTGGGGAGGAAGGTGCCTGTGTTCAGAGCACATGCAGGGGAAGCAGCCCTGCCTCTGAGTGAGGGTGTGGGAAACTTCTGCTTCTCATTCCTGGGACAGAGAGGGCATGTGGTGCTTCCTCACACCTCCTACTTTCTGTTTTGGGCTGGTTTTTAGTGGGTGCTGGGAAGACTGCAGAGCCATTTTCCTTGGGAGCAGTGGGGAGGTCTCACCTGTGCTCAGAACAACAAAGAATTGTCTTCAGGTACAAGTTCACTGATTGTTGCAGGGCGAAAGGGAAAGAGGGAGCAGGGAGCCCTGGCCAACAGGTTGAGTTCAAATGGAAGGTGAACTGCAGAGTGTTCTGGAAACTCAGCCCAGAACACACTCCTGTCTAAGAGAGTGAATGAACAGCCCATAATCCCTGATCCCACAAAACTTCTTTTTTTGGGGTTTCAGCTGCATTTTGCCTGCTTGATGATCAGCCCCAGGCTAAATGTCCCCAGGCTAAAATTGTCCAGGCTCTGAGAGAGCAGCAAACCACTCCAAAGTCCTCAAAGCACTGATCATTTTCTCCAAATATCTGTTTGTTTTCCTCCTGCCAAGGACACCTGAAGGACAACGAGCCCCCGTCGAGCTGGGGTCCGGTGGAGCTGGTGGCCGTGATTGCCGGGCCCGTGTTCCTCGTGTTTGTTGTCATGATCATCGTGGTCTTCGTGTTCCACCACCACCAACGGGTCTATCACAACCGCCAGAGGCTGGACATGGAAGATCCTTCTTGTGAAATGTGCCTTTCAAAGGACAAGACCTTGCAAGATCTGGTCTATGATCTCTCCACCTCCGGCTCTGGCTCAGGTATTGCGAGATGCTGGGATGTGATCGCTGGGAATTTGCACTTGGCTCCTTGGGCTGGTGGTTGCCACAGCTTTGCTGCCTCAGAGCCTGTTCAGGGGGTTTGTCATGAGGAACTTGAAGGGATGTTTAAATTCAGTCTCATGTCTCTTCAGGTAGGAGCAAATTTAACTATTGCTCCTACCTGAACACATTGAGACTGTTAAATTCCTCCTTAATTTAAGGAGGAATTCCTTAAATTAAGGAGGAATTTAACTAGGAATTAAATTGAGGAATTTAACTAGGAATTCCTCCTAGTTAAATTCCTCCTTAACTGCAAGAGCAAAGAGCTGCATTTGTTCCCAGTTTAGCCTTGGAACAGGATTTGGGTTGGAAACAGCCATTAACTGCTAACCTGTGTGTTGTTGGATGTCACCTGCATCAAAGCTGCAGGAAAATGGGGAAGATCCCAGCAGATCAACATTTTATGGTGCAGATAGTGCATTTGCACAGCTCATTTCATCCCAAAGAGCCCTTGGGTCTTCCCAGGTGGATGATGTGCAGTGTTTGCTTCTGTAGCACTTGAAAGGAGTCCCCAGAATAGATGGAAAGTCACAGTTTAGTGGTGGCTTTGAACTAGGAATGTAGTTGGGTTAAAGAATATAAGGAATTCTGCAGCAGATGGAAACTGCAGGAAAATCCACAGAGGCAGAGAATGTCACAACCTGAGATTTGACCAGGGAATAAACCTTCAGCAGCACATCTGCTGCTAAATATAAAATATTTGGGATCTTTTCTATGTATACTGTGGGCAGGTGAGCTCAGTGCTTTCTGTAAGCAATGGCAGTGATGTTGGAACTCCTTTCTTAAGATAAATTTGGGGGGATTTCTGCTTTTTAGCAGCAACTGACTTCAAGTTCCATTCTTTGCATATTGAGGCTGCAGTTCTTTCATCTCTGGTGGAACAGAACTTACCCAACTGCTCCTTGCTGGATCTCTGCTTCACAGCAAAATTCAGATGCTGCCCAAGCAGTGGCACATCCCACACAGGAGCTGCCACCATTCCCTGGTTTGGGTCTTGCTCAGGCTCCCAGTTGTAATCAAATGTGGATCCTGCTGGGTTTGAGGACATTTTTCAGCCTCTGGGATTTCAGGAGCTTTTTTGCCACCACAGTGTAGGAATGTGCCCCCTGTTGACAGAGTGACCAAACTGTCCTTGGTCTCCTTAAAAAGGAAAAAAGCCCAGAAGTTTCTTTCCTCAATCAGCAAAGAAGACACCTCATAGGACCTGAGGGATTCACCTCAAACTTAAGGAGAGCCAATGGGACAGGAGCCAAAAAGTCCCACCTGAGCAATTCATTAGAAAAAGAAGAGAACAAAGGAACTGATTGCTTTTGTGGGGTGCTTTACCAGGAGCAAAAACCTCGAGTTTTCTGTATAGAGAGATTTGTTATTTTGCCTTTTATTAAAACTTTTCTGTTTCCAGCACTAACACAGAAGCCATCCTGCTGATTTTATGCCATCTGAGGTAGCTGAGCTATCTTGGGTGTAAAATACATCTCCAAGAGCTTATAAGACCTGAATCAAGGAGACCCTTACATCAATGGAGTTTGGTTTTTCCCCTGTTGCACGTGGCTCAGTTTTTCTCTATAAAGAGCTTTGTTATTTTGCCTTTTATTAAAACTTTTCTGTTTCCAGCATTACCACAGAAGCCATCCTGCTGATTTTATGCCATCTGAGGTAGCTGAGCTACCTTGGGTGTGAAATACATCTCCAAGAGCTTATAAGACCTGAATCAAGGAGACCCTTACATCAGTGGAGTTTGGGTTTTTTCGCTCTTGCACCCAGCTCGGGTTTTCTCTATAAAGAGTTTTGTTATTTTGCCTTTTATTTAAATCTTCTGTTTCCAGCACCACCACAGAAGCCATCCTGCTGATTTTATGCCATCTAAGGTAGCTGAGCTATCTTGGGTGTGAAATAGATCTCCAAGAGCTGATGAGACCTGGCTCAAAGAGACCCTTATAGCAGTGGAATTACTTTTTTCCCCTGTTGCACGTGGCTCAGTTTTTCTCTATAAAGAGCTTTGTTATTTTGCCTTTTATTAAAACTTTTCTGTTTCCAGCATTACCACAGAAGTCATCCTGCTGATTTTATGCCTTCTGAGGTAGCTGAGCTATCTTGGGTGTGAAATAGATCTCCCAGAGCTTATAACACCTAACTCAAGGAGACCCTTACATCAGTGGAGTTTGGTTTTTTCCCCTCTTCCACCTGGCTTGGTTTTTCTCTGTAAAGAGTTTTGTTATTTTGCCTTTTATTAAAATTTTTCTGTTTCCAGCACCACCACAGAAGCCATCCTGCTGATTTTATGCCTTCTGAGGTAACTGAGCTATCTTGGGTGTGAAATACATCTCCAAGAGCTTATAAGACCTGGCTCAGGGAGACCCTTACATCAGTGGAGTTTGGTTTTTTCCCCCGTTGCACGTGGCTCAGTTTTTCTCTATAAAGAGCTTTGTTATTTTGCCTTTTATTAAAACTTTTCTGTTTCCAACACTACCACAGAAGCCATCCTGCTGATTTTATGCCTTCTGAGGTAGCTGAGCTATCTTGGGTGTGAAACAGATCTCCAAGAGCTGATGAGACCTGGCTCAAAGAGACCCTTATAGCAGTGGAGTTTGGTTTTTTCCCCTCTTCCACCTGGCTTGGTTTTTCTCTGTAAAGAGCTTTGTTATTTTGCCTTTTATTAAAACTTTTTGTTTCCAGCACCACCACAGAAGCCATCCTGCTGATTTTATGCCATCTGAGGTAGCTGAGCTACCTTGGGTGTGAAACAGATCTCCAGGAGCTTCTGAGACCTGCCTTAGATCACCCCAGGGACTGATTCCTCCCTTTCCTTGTCCCCAGGCCTGCCTCTGTTTGTCCAGCGCACGGTGGCTCGCACCATTGTCCTCCAGGAGATCATTGGCAAAGGCCGCTTTGGGGAGGTGTGGCGGGGCAGGTGGCGTGGTGGGGACGTGGCTGTGAAGATTTTCTCATCACGTGAGGAGCGCTCCTGGTTCAGGGAGGCAGAGATTTACCAAACTGTGATGCTGAGGCACGAGAACATCCTGGGATTCATTGCTGCAGATAACAAAGGTAAGAGGTGCCTCAAGCCTAGAGCAGAGGCTTCACCACTGTGCTGCCAGTGCCTCACCACCCTTTCCAAGGAGTTTTCTCTAATTTCCAATCTAAACCTTCCCTGGTGTGATTTTAGGCCGTTTCCTCTGGTCCTGTTGCTTGTTAGCCCACCTGGCTCCATCCTCCTGTCAAGTTGATCAGAGTGAGAGGGTGGCTCCTGAGCCTCCTTTCCTTCAGGATGAGCCCTCCAGCTCCATCAGATGCTTCTTAGAAGTCATCCCCACCCTTCCCCATCTCCATTGCCCATCTCTGGTCACATTCCAGCACCTCCATCCCCATGTCAGAAGTTGAACAGCATGAGAAGGTGCCCCCTGAGCCTCCTTTTCTTCAGGTTGAGAAGAAAAGCTCCCTCATTGCTCTTCACAAGTTATCCATTCCCTTCCCCAGCTCCATTGCCCACCTCTGGTCACATTCCAGCACCTCCATCTCCTGTCAAGAAGTTGATCAGAGTGAGAGCTCCTGCCCTGAGCCTCCTTTTCTTCAGGTTGAGCCCTCCAGCTCCCTCATTGCTCTTCAGAATTATCCCCACCCTTCCCCAGCTCCATTGCCCATCCCTGGTCACATTCCAGCACCTCCATCCCCATGTCAGAAGTTGAACAGCATGAGAAGGTCCCCCCTGAAGCCTCCTTTTCTTCTGTTGAGCCCTCCAGCTCCCTCAGCTGCTCTTCAGAATTATGCACTCCCTTCCCCATCTCCATTGCCCATCTCTGGTCACATTCCAGCACCTCCAGCCTCCTGTCAGAAGTTGAACAGCATGAGAAGGTTCCCCCTGAGCCTCCTTTTCTTCAGGTTGAGCCCTCCAGCTCCCTCAGCTGCTCTTCAGAATTATCCCCACCCTTCCCCAGCTCCATTGCCCATCTCTGGTCACCTTCCAGCTCATCTTTCCTGTCATGGGGGACTAAAGCTGATTCAGTCATTATCTCTGGGCCTCTACACTGCCCAAAACTACTCCAGGCTTCGAGCAGTTTCCTCACCAGTGCCTGGCACAGGAGGAAAATCCCTGCTCTGCTCCTGCTGGCCACGCTGTGGCTGATTTGAGCCATTTCTTCCTTGCCCCTGTCGAGCTGCAGCCTTACCCAGCAGCTCTGCTCTGTCCCAAAAACCTGTGGCATGCTCAGTGGCCATCCCTGCTCTGGATCTGCCTGAGTTCCACCTCTTCCCTGTTGCAGATAATGGGACATGGACTCAGCTGTGGCTGGTCTCTGACTACCACGAGCACGGCTCCCTCTTTGATTACCTGAACCGCTACACGGTGACCATCGAGGGCATGATCAAGCTGGCCCTGTCTGCTGCCAGTGGGCTGGCCCACCTGCACATGGAGATCGTGGGCACTCAGGGTAAAAACTCAATGGGGAAATTGGGAATTCTTGAGGGGAGGATAAAGCTGGATTGCTGAAGGGAGCTTGTGATGGTGTTCACAGGGGTTTTTGGATGAGGGAAGAGATGAGGATCTGACTCCGTGTTTCAGAAGGCTTGATTTATTATTTTATGATATATATTACATTAAAACTGTACTAAAAGAATAGAAGAAAGGGTTTCATCAGGAGGCTGGCTAAGAATAGAATAGCAAAGAATGATAACAAAGGTTTGTGGCTCAGGCTCTCTGTCCGAGCCAGCTGGGCTGTGATTGGCCATTAATTACAAACATCCAACATGGGCCAATCCCAGATGCACCTGTTGCATTCCACAGCAGCAGATAACCATTGGTTACATTTTGTTCCTGAGGCCTCTCAGCTTCTCAGGAGGAAAAATCCTCAGGAAAGGATTTTCCATAAAAGATGTCTGTGACAGGAGCTGATGTGCTGTGCAGCAAACCCTGCCTGAGTCAGCCCAGCTTCAGCTGGTGGTTATGGAGCAGAAATAGAGCGATTGCTTTGGCTGGCTGTGAAGTGGGTTAACCCAGGAGTTATATCACCATTTCACATCCCATCCTAAAATTGGCACTGCCTGGGTGGGATGTGAGCACAGGCAGAAGCAGAATCACAAACTCCTGACGTCTGCACCTATGCTGGGATGTGGAGTTTACATCCCTCTTGAGGCCTCTGCGTGCCACTGCATCAGTGGCGCCTCCAAAACACAGAATCACAGAATTAGAGAATCACAGAATCAATCTCAGAATTACAGAATCACAGAATCAATCACAGAATCAATCTCAGAATTAGAGAATCACAGAATCAATCACAGAATCAATCACAGAATCACAGAATCAATCTCAGAATTACAGAATCAATCACAGAATTACAGAATCAATCACAGAATTACAGAATCAATCACAGAATCACAGAACAATGAGGTTGGAAGAGATCTCTAAGATCATCGAGTCCAACCTATGCCCTAACACCTCACCCAGACTACAGCACCAAGTGCCATGTCCTGTCTTTTTTTAAACACATCCAGGGATGGTGATTGTACCACCTCCCTGGGAAGAGCATTCCAGTACAATTGGAGCTTTTCCCTGCTCTGTTCCTTATGAATCTAAACAGGAAAAAGTGTTGCAACAACGGGTTTAATGCCCTGAAATCCGGTTCTGCCTCTGTGCCAGTTCAACAAATGGATTTCCCCAGCTTGACCCTTGTGACCGTGTTCAGAGGGGTCTGAGGGTGAGGGAAGAGATGAGGATCTGACTCCATGTTTCAGAAGGCTTGATTAATTATTTTATGATATATATTATATTAAAACTATACTAAAGGAATAGAAGAAAGGATTTCATCAGAAGGCCAGCTAAGAATAGAAAAAAAAAGAATGAATAACAAAGGCTTGTGGCTCTGACAGAGAGTCTGAGCCAGCTGGGCTGTGATTGGCCATTAATTAGAAACAACCACATGAGACCAGTCAGATGCACCTGTTGCATTCCACAGCAGCAGATAATTATTATTTACATTTCATTTCTGAGGCCTCTCAGCTTCTCAGGAGCAAAATTCCTAAGAAAAGGATTTTCCATAAAAGATGTCTGTGACAGACCCTTGGTGCTTTTTCTTTTGCTCTGCTAGGAAAACCTGGGATTGCTCACAGAGACCTGAAATCCAAGAACATTTTGGTGAAGAAAAATGGCACCTGTGCCATCGCTGACCTCGGCCTGGCCGTCCGGCACGACTCCGTCACCGACACCATCGACATCGCCCCGAACCAAAGGGTTGGAACCAAACGGTAGGGAAATGCATTGGGGTGGCTGGAACTGCCTGAACTGCAGCTTGAGCACTGGGGGAAGGAATTCTCTGCATTTAGCATTTCCCAAATGCAGCATCAGTTTTGTGCCCAAATTGGTGCCAAAGGGATGTTGCAGGTGAAGGCATTTGGGTGGCTGGAAATGCCTCAACTCTGGGTTGAGCACTGGGGGATTCTCTGGATTTAGCATTTCCTGGTGTCTTGCAGCATCAGTTTTGTGCCCAAATTGATGCCAAAGGGATGTTCCAGGTGAAGGCATTTGGGTGGCTGGAAATGCTTGAGCTGCAGGTTGAGCATTGGGGGAATTCTGAATTTAGCATTTCCCGGTGTCTTGCAGCATGAAATGCCTGAACTCTGGGTAGAGCACTGGGGGAAGGAATTCTCTGGATTTAGCATTTCCCAGTGTCTTGCAGCATCAGTTTTGTGCCCGTGTTGATGCCAAAGGGATGTTGCAGGTGAAGGCATTTGGGTGGCTGGAAATGCCTGAGCTGCAGGTTGAGCACTGGGGGAATTCTGAATTTAGCATTTCCCGGTGTCTTGCAGCATGAAATGGCTGAACTCTGGGTAGAGCACTGGGAGAAGGAATTCTCTGAATTTAGCATTTCCTGGTGTCTTGCAGCATCAGTTTTGTGCCCAAATTGGTGCCAAAGGGATGTTGCAGCTGAAGTCATTTGGGTGGCTGGAAATGCCTCAACTCTGGGTTGAGCACTGGGGAATTCTCTGAATTTAGCCTTTCCTGGTGTCTTGCAGCATCAGTTTTGTGCCCAAATTGGTGCCAAAGGGATGTTGCAGGTGAAGTCATTTGGGTGGCTGGAAATGCCTCAACTCTGGGTTGAGCACTGAGGGATTCTCTGAATTTAGCATTTCCTGGTGTCTTGCAGCATCAGTTTTGTGCCCAAATTGATGCCAAAGGAATGTTGCAGGTGAAGGCATTTGGGTGGCTGGAAATGCCTGAGCTGCAGGTTGAGCACTGGGGGAAGGAATTCTCTGAATTTAGCATTTCCCAGTGTCTCTCAGCATCAGTTTTGTGCCCAAATTGGTGCCAAAGGGATGTTGCAGGTGTCACCACACTGGGAGGTGTGGGCCAGCCATGTAAACCTGGCACAGGAGCTCATTGAATGCATGACAACAAACTTGGCCTCACTAAAGCCTTTGGGACTTTCTGGTGGGAGCCTGATGTAGTTTTGGGACATTTCTGCCTCTTTTCCCAGCTTGCTGTTGTTCTTGAGTTATTTTTTTCACTCTCTTAGATCACAGGGCCCAGTTCTGTTCTGATGCCAAGTAGAGCTTTTTCTGCTGGGAAGTGCTGTGTGGGAAAACTGATCATTTACTGTCTTCCAGAAAATTCCCTCTCAGAATGGAAATGTTTTTCATTTCTCTGTGCAGATACATGGCCCCAGAAGTCTTGGATGAAACCATCAACATGAAACATTTTGATTCATTTAAATGTGCTGATATCTACGCCTTGGGCTTGGTCTACTGGGAGATTGCCCGAAGGTGCAATGCAGGAGGTAAATGTCCTGTCCTTTGTGTGCCTGGGCCAGTGGCCATGCTTGCTCCTGGCTCTCCTCCAAACCTGAGGGTTCCATGGATCAGGAGGAGGGAGGTTTGATCAGGTTTGGGAGGTTTGAGGGAGAGCAGGGCTGTGGGAGGACATGTCCCCGTGTGTGTTGTCACCAAGGGAGGTAACAGAAGTGACTCATGACTGCTGCTAAGCCCAGCCAGTGTTTTGGGTCAAGGGTGGTGGTGCTCCAGGGGTGGCTGATGTTCCTTTGGGTGGGTTTTCAGGCAATGGTGGTGCTGGTTGGTGGGGGACTCCCCCAGATCAGTGTAAATGTCTTGGCACGTGCAGCTGCAGCATCATCCCACGTGTGGCAGTGGAGATTCAGTGACCCTGGCGCCTTGCTGGGAGGTGTTGATCCCAGCCTGCTGACTCTGTTCCAGTTTAGGCAGCTGCATTTTATTTCCCTGAATTTTTCTTGTTAGCTCCAATTCCAAATTCTTCATTTCTGTTCTAAATAACTGCAAAGTGTTGACGCATCTCAGCAGTGAGTCATGGGCCCAAACCTCCATCTGTCTGTCTTTAGCAAGCACAGTGGCCATGGTCCCCGTTCCCAGGAATTTGATTTTTCCCTGCTCTGCCTTTCAGGTATCCATGAGGAGTATCAGCTTCCCTACTATGACCTTGTACCCTCTGATCCTTCCATTGAGGAGATGAGGAAGGTTGTGTGTGACCAGAAATTACGGCCAAACATCCCAAACTGGTGGCAGAGCTATGAGGTGAGGTCTGCTTTCATCTCCATGGAAAGGCTGAGAGAACTGGGATTGTCCAGCCTGGAGAACAGAAGCTTTGGGCTGACCTGATTGTGGCCTTGCAGTATTTGGAGGAAGTCTGCAAGAAAAAGGAGGGGAGAATCCTTCCAAGGAGTTCCAGTGCCAGAGAGCAGGGTTAGGTGGGATATTGGGAAGAAATTCTTCCCTGTGAGGATGGTGAGGCCCTGGCACAGGATGCCCAGAGAAGCTGGGGCTGCCTCTTCCCTGCAAGAGTTCAAGGTTGGATGAGGCTGGGAGCAGCCTGGGATAGTGGCAGCTGTCCATGCCCATGGCAGGGCATGGAATGAGATGGACTTGAGGGTCTCTTCCAACTCAAACCATTCCATGACTCCCTCAGGATAAGGTAACAAGTTTTGTGAGATGTGCTCTGATTCTGGGGGATGTGGAGGCCGTGTCAGTGCCCAGGCAGAGCAGCAGCCTGGCAGGCCCAGGTGGGCTCAGGGGAAGAGCAGAGCACTGACATTTGCTGTTGTTTCTTGGCCAGGCACTACGGGTGATGGGCAAGATGATGCGAGAGTGCTGGTACGCCAACGGAGCGGCTCGGCTCACTGCCCTCCGCATCAAGAAAACCCTCTCCCAGCTCAGTGTCCAGGAAGATGTGAAAATTTAGGCTCTGAGCCTCAACAGGAGCAAATTGCACAGGAGCTGCTGTGCTAGAGTAGACATGTGATGGAGGCCTACCTCGTGTTTCAGCCCAACCTACTGCTACAACCAGACAGCGGGACCTGCAGGCTGCTAGGCAGGGGGACGGAGCCTACGGAACCGCTCTCTTCCCTGCTTGGGTATGAAACAATATCCAAAACCTTTTGTGATCACCTCCTGAGAGCGTGGAGACTTGAGAGGGACTTCACCTGAGGGATCTCAGCCATGATCCTAACTCTTTGTTCCTTTAAAGGAAATCCCTGTAAAGTTCAGTGTGCGTTGAGCACCCGTTGGTGGGGTCGGAGCCGGCCCCGGCTGCTCGGGGAAGGGGAAGGGAAGGGAAGGTTTTTCTTGCCGTACTCACGAGGATTTTTCCAGGGACTGGCACGTTCATGCAGAAAAAGCAAAACAAATGGTGCTCTCTTCCAAGAGGCTGAGCCAGAACAGTTGATCAGCTTCACAACAGCCGTTCTCTCCCTCCTTTTCTTAAGCTTGAAAAAGTCCAGCTCGGCGCCCTGACGGCCGTCGGGGCCGCCCCGGCGTGTGCATGCGCGAGGCGCGCGTGTCCCTGTGCCTCCGTGCCTGGTCATCTCCTCCGTAGCCGTGCGCTGTCTCTGCCTGTGGGTGCCTCATCTCTGTCCGTGCTTCCTGTGCATGTGCAACTCTCGAGTGTCCCCTTTGTGAGCTGTTTGCTGGTGCTCTCCGTGCTGAGTCGTGAGCCTCGTGGAGCTTGGACAGGCGGCTGCAGAGCGGATCCCCGGCTCCCCGATGGGCGCCGCCACCACGGCCCATCCGGTTGCCTCACTGCCACCCCTTCCCTTTTTTTTAAGATGAAACAAATAAGGAACTGAGAATCACTCCTGGAATCCAGGGTTTTTTTTGTCTTGAGCCCCTGGGGTTGTGTGAGGTGGAGCAGGCGCTGTGGGGAAGTGCAGGACTCAGTTCCCAACTTCACCATCCAGGCAGATTCTGTGGCCAGCAGGAGCAGGGGGATCATTGTGCCCCTGTACTTGGCACTGGTGAGGCTGCACCTTTCCCTTTTTTTAAGATGAAACAAATAAGGAACTGAGAATCACTCCTGGAATCCAGGGTTTTTTTGTCTTGAGCCCCTGGGGTTGTGTGAGGTGGAGCAGGTGCCATGGGGGAGTGCAGGACTCAGTTCCCAACTCCAACACCCAGGCAGATTTCTGGGGGCCTGGTGATGCAGCAGGACAGGCTGGGGACAGAGTGGCCTGGCTGAACATCTGAACATGAGCCAGCAGCGTGCCCAGGTGGCCAAGCCCAATAGCTCCTGGCCTGGATCAGGAATGGTGTGGCCAGCAGGAGCAGGGGGATCATTCTTCTCTGTACTTGACACTGCTGAGGCTGCACCTTTCCCTTTTTTTAAGATGAAACAAATAAGGAACTGAGAATCACTCCTGGAATCCAGGGGTTTTTTGTCTTGAGCCCCTGGGGTTGTGTGAGGTGGAGCAGGCGCTGTGGGGGAGTGCAGGACTCAGTTCCCAACTCCAGCATCCAGGCAGATTTCTGGGGGCCTGGTGATGCAGCAGGACAGAGTGGCTGCACAGTGGCCTGGCTGAACATGAGCCAGCAGCGTGCCCAGGTGGCCAAGCCCAATAGCTCCTGGCCTGGATCAGGAATGGTGTGGCCAGCAGGAGCAGGGGGATCATTCTTCTCTGTACTTGACACTGGTGAGGCTGCACCTTTCCCTTTTTTTAAGATGAAACAAGTAAGGAACTGAGAATCACTCCTGGAATCCAGGTGTTTCTTTTTTTTGTCTGGAGCCCCTGGGGTTTGTAATTCTTGATAGAGGGGATTGAGTTGTGTCAGAGGTGGAGCAGGTGCCATGGGGGAGTGCAGGACTCAGTTCCCAACTCCAACACCCAGGCAGATTTCTGGGGGCCTGGTGATGCAGCAGGACAGGCTGGGAACAGAGAGGCCTGGCTGAACATGGGCCAGCAGCGTGCCCAGGTGGCCAAGAAAGCCAATGGCTCCTGGCCTGGATCAGGAATTTTGTGGCCAGCAGGAGCAGGGGGATCATTCTTCTCTGTACTTGACCCTGGTGAGGCTGCACCTCGAGTTCTGTGTCCAGCTCTGGCCCCTCAGTTTGGGAAGGAGGCAAAGAGGCTGGAGAGGGGCTGGGAACACAAACCCTGTGAGGAGCCCTGAGGGAGCTGGGGGTGCTCAGATGGAGAAAAGGAGGCTCAGGGGTGATTTTATCCCTCTCTACAACTTCCTGAAAGGTGGCTGTGCTCAGGTAGGGGTTGGGCTCTGCCCCCAGGCAACACTGACAGAAGAGAGCACAGCCTTAAGCTGCCCATGGGGAAGTTTAGGTTGGACATCAGAAAGAAATTCTTCACTGAAAGAGTGAGTAGGTGCTGGAATCATCTGCCCAGGGAGGTGCAGGAGTCACTGAACATCTTTAAAAAATCACTGGGCATGGTTCAGCTGATGAGGAGGTGTTGGGTTAGGTCATAGGTTGCCCTTGATGATCTCAAAGGTCTTTTCCAGCCTGGCTCATTCTGTGATCTCAGTTCTGGGGGTCCTCCCAGAGGGGCTGGGCAGGATCTGACAGCAGGTTGGGAATCAACATCCATCTTTTTAATCTAGGTGTATAAATATCTCCTAATGTGGAAGTGGCTGTGTCTCAGTGTGGGGTGGGGGGATCTGCATGGGTTTTCTTTTGATTCAAGGCCGAATCCAGGTGAGGGAGAGGTGGGGTGACTACAGAGACTCTGGAAGTGAGGGCTGTGGCTGCCCTGATGGCTTTGGCAGTCAGGAAGATCTGTGCTGTGGAGGTCAGGTCAGTGTCTGCAGTAGAGAACTCTGAAGCCATAACTTTTAACTGGAGTGGTTTTGATTATTATTTTTTTAATTATTATTGTTGTTATTATTATTATTATTATTATTGCTGTTGTTGTTGTTTTCTGGGAGGGTCTGGATTTTAACTTTTTTGAATATTGGTAATTCTTTCTAAGAGCAGAAAAACAATCTCTAATTATTACCTCTTGACCTGTTGGTTTGTAAAGAAATCACTGCAAAAAAAAAAAAAAAAAAAAAAGGAAAAAAAAACCAAAATGCACAGCTCGATTTACACTGGAACTGTTTCTACTCTGACCTTGCTCCTGCTCTCAAAGGTGAGGTTTCATCTCTGCTCTGGCTGCCAGGGTTGTCTTTATTTCAGTCCCTCTGTTCTTGCTGTCTGTGTCCCTGTCCGTGTGTCCCTCTCCCCGATTCCCTGTGTGTCCATGACCTTGTACAAAGTGAGGAGTGTGGGTTGTGTGGGTTTGGAAGCATTTTAGGAGCTGTTTTGCACCCCCAAAGGAGATTTTGGCAGCGTGGATCTGCCCTGGGAGCAGGGCTGGGGGTCCCCTGTCCCCTCCCAGCTTGTCCTGAGTCACATCTCAGCCAGAGCTTCCCATGCACATCCCTTAAACCTGCATTGAGCAGCCAAGGGGGGCATTGCAAGCCCTAAATGTCAGTTTAACCCAGCTAAACCTGGACTAAGAAGCTGAGGGGGGCACTAAATGGCAGTTTACCCCGGTTAAACCTGGACTTAAAAGCCAAGGGGGGCACTTGCAAGCCCTAAATGTTGGTTTAACCCAGTTAAACCTGGACTTAAAAGCCAAGGGGGATGCTTGCAAGCCCTCAGTGCAGGTTTAGCCCAGTTAAGCCTGGACTTAGAAGCTGAGAGGAGCACCTAAATGTCAGTTTAACCCAGTTAAACCTGGACTAAGAAGCTGAGGGGGGCACTAAATGTCAGTTTAACCCAGTTAAACCCGCACTTGGAAGCCCTCAATGCAGATTTAGCCCAGTTAAACCTGGACTTGGAGGAAGCCCTAAATGTCAGTTTACCCCGGTTAAACCTGGACTTGGAAGCCCTCAATGCAGGTTTAGCCCAATTAAACCTGGACTTGCAAGCCCTCAGTGCAGGTTTAGCCCAGTTAAACCTGGACTTGGAGGAAGCCCTAAATGTCAGTTTAGCCCAGTTAAACCTGGACTTAGAAGCCAAGGGGGATCTTGCAAGCCCTCAATGCAGGTTTAGCCCAGTTAAACCTGGACTTGGAAGCCGAGGGGGTCACTTGCAATCCCTCAATGCAGGTTTAGCTCAGTTAAACCCGCACTTGGAAGCCCTCAATGTCAGTTTAGCCCAGTTAAACCTGGACTTGGAAGCCAAGGGGGTCACTTGCAAGCCCTCAATGCAGGTTTAGCCATTAAACCTGGATTTGGAAGCCCTCAATGCAGGTTTAGCCCAGTTAAACCCGCACTTGCAAGCCCTCAATGTCAGTTTACCCCAGCTAAACCTGGACTTAGGAGCCGAGGGGGCCCTGAGGACTCCCAGGCCGGTGGAACAGCCCGAGGATGGCGGCTGGGGCGGGCAGGAGGGGCCAGGCCCAGCTCAGGCTCCCCCTGGCGCTCCCATCCCGCTGCCCACAGCTCTGCACTCGCACTGCACTCGCCCCCTCCAACTGTAGCCACACTGCACCTGCCTCAGCTCCGAACCAAGCCGGGCTCAGGAACAGATCAGGCGAGGAGGGCAAGGCCCCTTCCCGCAGGATTTTAGGGGAAATCTTCAGCAGAGATGGGGAAAAGCCAGCGGGAAGGAGCTAACGCTGACCATGTAGCATTTCCACAGCACTTTGTTCATGCATCGTCGGTGCCCGGGGGCGCCAGTGCTCGCCGAGCTGTCGGAGCACAGGGAGGGGGAATCGCTGCCAAGCCTCCAAAACCTTGCAGCAGCTCTGGGGGGAAAAAAAAAAGGAGCAAAAAGTGCATTCCAGGCAGTTCCATGCAGGATAAGGACGGGGGGGTCCATCAGCGGTACGTGGCTGCAGGACAGAACTCTTGGTACTTCTCTGCCCCTTTTTTGATTTGTTTGGTTTTGTACATTTTTCTTAGCAAAGGACTGTATGAAAATAGCCACTTAGCCACTTTACCTCTTCAGTATGCAAATGTACATACGGTGTAAGATAGGAAATCTTTTGTTTAATATAAAAAACCAGGCTGTTGATTTCTGCTGTACATTATTAAAAGTTTGTTTTATTCATGTGAGGTGTTGCAATCTCCGTTCACTGGGAAGGGGTGGGAATTGCAGGGCACAGCTCAGTCCCTCACAACTGAAATAATCTTTTTAGGAATCCTGGGCAAAACATTTTTAATGTTGAATATTCCCATTTTTAGTGGATATGAAGCTTCCAACAGCCACCAAGCACTCGGGAAGTGCCACCAGCATAGTGGAGGTGACACAAAGAGGTGACAGGGGGGGTTTTCCACCCAGCTGAACTTGGAGCTCCCACTCAGGGACAGACACAGAGCAGGAAGGGTCACAGAGAATAAATACATTTGGAGATTCATGCCTGGAGATCCCCTCAGAGCATCCCTGGGGCTGTGCTGGGTACAGTGGGCACCTCCCTGCAGCATCCCTGAGTCTCCACAGCTCCAAGGAAAGAGAAATCCCACAGCAAACCACAAAATCCTGTTTGCTCCGAGGGTAAATGGTGCTGCATCAACTGTCCCTACTAATTCCTTAATTAGAGCCTCCTGCAGATGAGTTGTGAGCGGATCAAGGGGAAAATCTGGGGTCCCCCCGGGCTCAGACAAGGTGGGGAGGGGGAGGCACCATCTGGGCTTGTCCTTCTCGTGCCCAGCTTTGTCTGAAGCTCCTGCTGTGGTCCCCAGGAAAATCCAGCCCCATCCTGCAAACGTGGGCAGCACTGAGATCAGAATATTGGGAATTTTAAAGCAAAATGAGTCTGCTCCTCCAGAGATGGAATGGGAAAACAGTCTGGGGTGGCTGCAGCTCAGGGGCCGAGCCATGACCACATTTTGGGCACAAAATGGGGTTTTCCTCATCATTCCCGGTGGTTTGGGGACTCGGGGTCGGTGATGGGCTCAGTCCCATCCTTTCCCCAGCACTTCCAACCCAGAGCAGTTCTGCTCCTGCAGCAAATTTGTCTCTTGGTAACCCCAGGCCGGGCTGTGGGCGGGAGGTTTGGGTGGAACGCCAGCGGGGATTGTTACGATCTTCATTTTTTTTGGCAAATTTTAAACAAACATTTGGGCAAAGCTCTCGACTCCAGCTGGAAAATTCCCTCTGCCTCTCGCCGGGGCTCAGCCGGAGCCGCGCGTTGTGTCCGCACAGCCACCGCGGCCGCCTCCGGGAATTGTTCTTCCCTCCGTGTCCCAGCGCAGCTCAGACCCTGCAGGAGCGGCTTAAACCCCGCTGGGAGCCGGCCCGGGGGCTGCGGCCGCCCCTGCCCCAGCTCCTGCCTCCCATTAAATCCCAAATGCGGATTTGGTGGCAGCTGGCGGGGAGCAGCAGAGCCCGGCATTGCTTCTGCTCCCGGAAACCTCCCCGGTTTCTCCCCAAATCATCCCTGCGGTGATCCCTGCATCCCTGCTTGGTTCCCCACGGTGCTTCCCGTGATAATTCCCAGCAGCATCGCACCCTGCACCCTCAGGGCACCGCCCCAAGGAGGGGACCTGGACCTCCACACCCGCGGTGTCCCTGAGGATGTGCCCAGGACCCTCCCTCCAGACCCCCGCGCTGGACAACCGAGGGATCCCCGTGCAGAACTTCATGAAGGGCCCTCCCTCTGGACCCCCGCGGGATCCCCAAACAGGGACCCGAATTGTTCTGTCCTGATGGACCCCACCCAAGGGGCCCCTGTGTGGGACCTCCATGGGGTTCCTGAGCAGGACCCTCACACCAGACCCCCCCCACTGGACCTCCATGGGGTTCCCAAGCTGGATCCCCCCGCTTAAACCCCCACTGTTCCTCCATGGGGCCCCTGAGAAGGACCCTCACACCAGACCCAAGCAGGACCCTCACACCAGCCCCCCCCCACTGGACCTCAATGGGGTCCCTGAGCAGGATCCCCCCCACTGGACCTCAATGGGGTCCTCGAGTGGGACCCTCACATCGGACCCCCCCCACTGGACCCCCATGGGGTCCCCCGAGCAGGACCCCCCCCCCCACTGGACCCTCCACTGTTCCTCCATGGGGACCCTGAGCAGGACCCCCCCCCTATGACCCCTATGGGATCCCCAAGCAGGACCCCCCCCCCCCCCATTAGACCCTCCACTATTCCCCCATGGGGTCCCCGAGGAGAACCCCCCCACTGTTCCTCCATGGGGATCACCGACCAGGACCCCCCTCACTGGACCCTCCACTGTTCCTCTATGGGGTCCCTGATCAGGACCCTCATACTGGACCCCCCCCTGGACCCCCCTCACAGGACCCTCACCCCAGACCCCCCTGAACTCCACGTGGTCCCGATCCGTGCCCGGGGAGCCGCCGGTCCCAGCCGGACCCTGGGCGTGGTTTATCTCCAAAGCCGCACTTTAACGCCCAAGTGGGTGGGTCCGGCCCCAAAAGGGGCGCGTCCCGCCGTGTCCCCGCCCCCAGGGTCCATATAGCGGCTCCCGGGACGGCCCGGCCCGGCCATGACCCTGCGGCGGCGGCGGCGGCGGCGGCTCCGGCCGAAGGACGATGCGGCACCGGCGGCGGCCCCGGAGAGCCCCGGGCCCGCCGAGTTGTACCGAGCGCTGGCGGCGGCCGGCGGGACCCTGCCCCGTGTGCGCAAGGTAAGGGCTGCGGGGGGAGCCGCCCCGGTGCCTCCGGTTGTGCACCGGGACCGCGGGCGGTAACGGGGAGAGCGGGGCTGCGCCGTGTCCCCGTCCCGGTGGCTGCACCCCGCGGATCCGCTCCGGTGTCTCCTCCTGGGCTCTCATCGTGCCCCGGGGGCCCGCCCGAGCTTCCCTCGCGTCCCCATCCCGCTCCGCTTCCCTCGCGTCCCCATCCCGCTCCGCTTCCCTCGCGTCCCCATCCCGCTCCGCTTCCCTCGCGTCCCCATCCCGCTCCGCTTCCCTCGCGTCCCCATCCCGCCCGCGCTTCCCTCGTGTCCCCATCCCGCCCGCGCTTCCCTCGTGTCCCCATCCCGCTCCGGTTCCCTCGTGTCCCCATCCCGCTCCGAGCTTCCCTCGTGTCCCCATCCCGCTCCGAGCTTCCCTCGTGTCCCCATCCCGCTCCGAGCTTCCCTCGCGTCCCCCATCCCGCCCGAGCTTCCCTCGTGTCCCCATCCCGCTCCGAGCTTCCCTCGTGTCCCCATCCCGCTCCGAGCTTCCCTCGTGTCCCCATCCCGCCCGAGCTTCCCTCGCGTCCCCATCCCGCCCGAGCTTCCCTCGTGTCCCCATCCCGCCCGAGCTTCCCTCGTGTCCCCATCCCGCTCCGAGCTTCCCTCGTGTCCCCATCCCGCTCCGAGCTTCCCTCGTGTCCCCATCCCGCTCCGAGCTTCCCTCGTGTCCCCATCCCGCCCGAGCTTCCCTCGTGTCCCCATCCCGCTCCGCTTCCCTCGTGTCCCCATCCCGCTCCGGTGTCCCGATGGCCGCCCCCAGCCTCCTGTGCTGCCCCAGCATCTCCTCCCCCCTGTCCCATCCTCCTGCAGCATCTTCCCGGTGTCCCCGTCCCCGCTCGCTCCGTGTTGTCCCCCCAAGCGTCACATCCTGTCCCGGATCCTGCTCACGTCCTGCCCCGGGCTTATCCCTGTACCCCCACCCTGGTTTCCCCCCAAGCCCCCACATCAAGGTCCCTCCTCACCTTCCCTCAGGAATCTTCCCTGTGCCCCTTCCCAGTGTCCCCAAGCCCCACATCCTGTCCTGGTCCCTCTCTGTGTCCCGCCCTGCAGCTTTTAGGGTGCAGGGCCAGACCCTGACCCCACTGTTTGTGGCTCTGTCACTGGGACGGGAGTGACCCCACGGCCCCCCTGGACTCTGTCCCGTGAGAAGGGCAAGGGATTGGCCACAGGGTACCCCAAGACCGGGATCTGATTTAGGGAGGGTAAGGGACAGGTCCCAGAGTACCCCAGGTCTGATTTAGGGAGGGTAAGGGACAGGTCCCAGAGTACCCCAAGTGGGATTTAGGGGGGGGTAAGGGACAGGTCACAGTTTCCTGGGTCTGATTTGGGGACAGTATGGGACAGAGTACCCTGGGTCTGATTTAGGGAGTTTAAGGGACAGGTCACAGAGTGCCCCAGGTCTCATTTAGGGACAGGTCTCAGGGTACCCTGAGTCTGATTTAGGGACAGTAAGGGACAGGTCCCAGAATACCCCAGGTCTGATTTAGGGAGGGTAAGGGGCAGATCACAGGGTCTGGTGTAGGGACAGTAGGGGACAGGTCACAGAGGGCTCTGGGTCTGATTTAGGGACAGTAAAGAACAGAGTACCCTGGGTCTGATTTAGGTGAGGGACAGGTCCCAGAGTACCCCAGGGCTGATTTAGGAAGGGTAAGGGACAGGTTACAGAGCTCCCCAGGTCTGATTTGGGGACAGTAAGGGACAGAGTACCCTGGGTCTGGTTTAGGGACAGGTCCCAGAGTACCCTGGGTCTGGTTTAGGGACAGTAAGGGACAGAGTACCCCAGGCCTGGTTTAGGGACAGTAAGGGACAGAGTACCCTGGGTCTGGTTTAGGGACAGTAAGGGACAGGTCCCAGAGCTCCCCAGGTCTGGTTTGGAGAGCACAGGGCCCCTGGAAAGGCTCCTCTGTGGTGACGCTGGGCCCGACCCCGCCCTGAGGCTCCCCCCGGCCCCGTGGCGCTTCCTGAGCGTTGGGGGAAGCGAGAGCGGGGCCGACATCCGGAGCAGAAGTGGCTGCGCTGCCACAGCCCAGACGCGCACGGTGGCCTGGCCAGCAAGGCCACCACCACCAGACACGTCCCTGAGGGGTCCAGGGTGTCCCTTCCCGTCCCTGTGGTGACGTGGGGCCCAGCGTGACAGGCGACAACTTTTCCATTCCTGCTGGTTTTGTGCCTGTGGGTGCAGTTGGGGAGGGCGGTCGTTATCTGGTGACACCAGCAGGGCTGGTGACACCCGTGTGGCAGGGCTGGTGACACCCGTGTGGCAGGCAGAGCACAGAGGGAACCGCTGCCACCAAGCTGTGCCATTTGCCACCCTCAAGGGACAGCTTTTTGGTGACACTGCCTGCGCTGCACTGGGGCTGCCAGAGCCCAGCAGCCCCAGAGGGGCATTTGGGGACAGCCCTGTCCCCTCCTGAGGGTCCTGCCAGTTCCTCCACCCGCCCACGCCTCTGCTCCTGCCACAACAGCCACATTGTCTGGGCTGGGGGGGGTGGATTTTGCACAAAAACCCCGATTTTGTGGCCACAACAGGGCCCCTCTGTGCCGGGGCCCCTGGGAGCGCGGCGTGGGGTGGGCGCGGTGGGGCTGACGTCAAAGCGTGGGGCGAGCCCGGGGCACTCTGAGGGTGCCTTTGAGCCCTGATCAAAGCCCTCTTATGCCCAGGGGGCACCCGGGTGCTGGTGCTGGCTTGGCACGGTGCTGTCCTGGTGGTGGCTGTCCCTGCAGGAGGTGGGGGATGTCCCCTCGGGCTGATGGCTCTTCCTTTGTCACAGGACACAGGGTTCAAGTGGGCATCCCCGAGCCAGTCCCCGGAGGAGCACAGGTAGGGACAGGGGGCGCAGGAGTGGGGCTGGGGTCCCTGTCCCAGGGGGTTGGAGCTTGGCCTTGGGGACATTGTTCCACTCTGGATACCCTGGGAGGGCTGGAAATGAGGGGATTTTATAGGGGAGGTGAGAGCAGCCATGGGGTCACAGCTCAGACACCCCCAGACCCTGCCTGGCACCCACAGGATTCTGACAAAGGCAAACTGAGGGGGGTGAATCCCATCTCAGGCAGAGGTGTCCTGTCCTTGGGGACCCCAAAGCAGCATCCTGGGGTGTGCACAGGCAGTTTTGGGTGTGCCTGGGGTCCCTGTCCCAGGGGGTTGGAGCTTGGCCTTGGGGACATTGTTCCACTCTGGATACCCCGGGAGGGCTGGAAATGAGGGGGATTTTATAGGGGAGGTGAGAGCAGCCATGGGGGCACAGCTCAGACACCCCCAGACCCTGCCTGGCACCCACAGGATTCTGCAAAGGCAAACAGGGGGGTGTGAATCCCATCTCAGGCAGAGGTGTCCTGTCCTTGGGGACCCCAAAGCAGCATTTTGAGGTTTGCACAGGCAGTTTTGTGCCCTGTGTCCCCCAGGAGGGTGGTGATGCTGGAATGGGGCTGGGATCCCTGTCCCAGGGGGTTGGAGCTTGGCCTTGGGGACATTGTTCCACTCTGGATACCCTGGGAGGGCTGGAAATGAGGGGATTTTATGGGGGAGGTGAGAGCAGCCATGGGGGCACAGCTCAGACACCCCCAGACCCTGCCTGGCACCCACAGGATTCTGACAAAGGCAAACTGAGGGGGGTGAATCCCATCTCAGGCAGAGGTGTCCTGTCCTTGGGGACCCCAAAGCAGCATCCTGGGGTGTGCACAGGCAGTTTTGGGTGTGCCTGGGGTCCCTGTCCCAGGGGGCTGGAGCTTGGCCTTGGGGACATTGTTCCACTCTGGATACCCTGGGAAGGAAATGAGGGAGATTTTATGGGGGATGTGAGAGCAGCCATGGGGTCACAGCTCAGACACCCCCAGACCCTGTGGGGTCCTGGGACCCACAGGATTCTGGCCAAGGCAAACTGGGGGGCAGAGTGGGGTGAATCCCATCTCAGGCAGAGGTGTCCTGTCCTTGGGGACCCCAAAGCAGCATTTTGAGGTTTGCACAGGCAGTTTTGTGCCCTGTGTCCCCCAGGAGGGTGGTGATGCTGGAATGGGGCTGGGATCCCTGTCCCAGGGGGTTGGAGCTTGGCCTTGGGGACATTGTTCCACTCTGGATACCCTGGGAAGGAAATGAAGGGGATTTTATAGGGGAGGTGAGAGCAGCCATGGGGGCACAGCTCAGACACCCCCAGACCCTGTGGATGTCCTGCCTGGCCCCCAAAGGCAAACTGGGGGGCAGAGTGGGGTGAATCCCATCTCAGGCATTTTGAGGACCCCAAAGCAGCATTCTGAGGTGTGCACAGGCGGTTTTGGCCATGCCTGGTGCCCTGACCCCTGTGTCCCCCAGGAGGGTGGTGATGCTGGAGAAGAAGGCAGAGGAGTCCTTTGGCTTCGAGATCCAGGTGGGTGCTGAGCTGAGCTGAGCCTGGCCCTGCTCCCCACCCTTCCTCCCCGCACCTTGCTTTGCATGAGGGTATTTTTAAGTTGTCTCTGAGCTGGGGGTTATTTTTAGAGGTGACAGAGTCACCAAACCTCCCCAGGCTGTGCTGCTGGGGGGGCACCTTGGGGTGCAGCCATCAGGCCAAGCCCCCCCGGCAGCACTCAAACACTGCATGGCTGCTCCTGGGGGGGGTCCCTGGGGGTCGGGGTGCCCCCATGGCCCTCACCAGACCCCTCATTGCAGACCTACGGGCTGCACCACCAGGACAGGAACAGCGTGGAGATGTTCACCTTCGTGTGCCGCGTGCACGACGGGAGCCCGGCCGAGGCCGCGGGGCTCAAGGCTGGTGAGCGCATCCTGGGGGGAGCCAGGAGCCCTTGGGGGGGCCCCCAGAAGAGGGGAGCAGCCCCCCCTGAACCCCTGCTCACCCTGTGCTCCAGGGGACACCATCACGGGCGTGAACGGGCTCAACGTGGAGGGCATCCGGCACCGGGAGATCGTGGAGATCATCAAGAGCTCAGGAAACGTTCTCCGGTGAGCTGGGGGGCTCAGGGGGGGCTCGGGGGGCTGCAGCCCCCCACTGCTGACAGCTGCTGCCCCACAGGCTCGACACTCTCTATGGCACATCCATCAGGAGGGCCGAGCTGGAGGCCCGGCTGCAGTACCTGAAGGTGAGCAGGGGCTGCCATGGGGGCTTGGGACCCCTCAGCAGGGTCCTGGGGACCCCTCAGCAGGGTCCTGGGGACCCCTCAGGTCCTGACCCCCTCACCCTCCCCACAGCAAACCCTCTATGAGAAATGGGGGGAGTTTCGCTCGCTGATGGTGCAGGAGCAGCGGCTGGTGCGGGGTGAGTGGGGGTCAGGGGGTTGGTGGGAGGGGGTTTTGGGGCACCCCCCAGCCCCCCTGACACCCCCGTGTCCCCCATCAGGTGTGGTGGCCAAGGACCCCAGCATCTACGACACGCTGGAGTCCATCCGCTGGTGCCTGCAGGGGGAGGGACTGCCGGGGGGCTCCTCCCGCGCCAGCGGCAGCGATGATTCCCTGTACCAGACCTGCGTCTTCGCCTCCTCCAGCTCCCTGGATGGCGACAGGGACGGCGACAAGGACAAGGATGAGGACAGCGGGGGTCCCGCGCCCCCTCCACCACGTCCCCGACCCGCTCTGGGTCGCAGCTCCAGCCTCAAGTGTGCGGGGGGCCCGGGGGCTGCGGGGAGGCTTTGGGCCCGGGCCGGGGACCCCGGGGACGGAGCCGCCGCCGCCCCCCGCAAGAACCGGCACAGCAGCTTCCGCCAGCGGCTGCTCAAGTTCATCCCGGGGCTCAACCGGGCGCTGGAGGAGGAGGAGAGTCACCTCTAAGCCCGGGCCCTTCAGGACTATTTATTTATTTATTGCAAGGGGCTTCATTCCCTCTGCCACCCCCCACATCGCTGGGGGGCTGCAGGAAGGAGCTTTGGGGTTCTGGTTTGGGGTTCTGGTTTGGGGTTCTGGTTTGGCTCCCCCACCCCCGGGCTGTGGGGATCGTGACGCTGAGGGACGGACACAGCACCGAGGGACAGACGTGAGGACCCTCCTGGAGCAGCTCACGGAGCTCTGGGGAGGGGGGAGCACCGGGGGAGCCCCGAATTCCCCAGGCTGGGGCGTCCTGGGGGTCCCGCCCTGCTCTGCCCCCCTCCCCGGGCTGTTGTACCTCGCCAATACAGAGAGGATTTGCAGCGATGTGTGGCCGTGAATGAGGGGGGACAGAGCCCCCTGGGGGGCTGGGGGCTGCAGCTCCCCCCCAGCCCCACGCTGTCCCCTTGGGGTGACCAACTGATGTCACCTTGGCCGTGATTGAGCTGCCGGGGACCCCCCCGTGTCCCCCCGCCCGCTGCAGCCCCGGTGCCTTCGGCCACGTCCCGGCGCTGCGGGGCCCCGGCCAGGCCCTTCCTGCCCCGTTTCCTCCGGCAGCCGGCGGGAAGCGAGTCCCACCCCGAGCCCTTCCTCCTGCAAGGGACACGGTGCCCGCACAGGATGGGCACTGGGGTGACCCCCAAACCTGCCTCGGTGCCCCCCAGAGCCGCTGAAGGAGTTGGGGGACACAAAGCACCCCCAGAGCTGGGGGGGCTGCTACAACACCGGTGTGTGCACAGGTGGAGCACCGAGAGCCCCCAGCCCTCTGCTGTGCCTCAGTTTCCCTTCTGCTGTGCCTCAGTTTCCCCTCTGGCCGGGCTGTTTGGGGACCCCAACTCTCCCTGTGCCCCCCAGGGGAGCCTGTGGAGATCTGGGGGTGACAACTGTGTGTGCCACATCTCTGTGGAGATCTGGGGGTGACAACTGTGTGTGCCACATCTCTGTGGAGATCTGGGGGTGACAACTGTGTGTGCCACGTGCCATGGAGCGGGGTTGGGGGGATCGGCCGGCCCCCCCCCCACGCTCTCCTGCCTTGTCCCCGTTCCAGGACAGCTCCGTGCTGGACATTTATGGCCTGGCTCCCGCAGCCCCGGCGGCTCACGGCGTCCCTCCCGCGTGCTGCCAGGCATCCCGGAGCATCCCGTTCCTGTCACAGCCACCACGGGACCCCCCCCCCCCGTCCCCCTTGTGGCAGCTGCCACCCCACGCTGAGCTTTTTATAGCCCCGACCTGGGGCTGCGTGTGCCCGGAAAGGGGCAGGTGGCCGTGGGACAGCCGGGGTCACGCGTGGCAGCGGCTGAGCGGGGCAGGGCAGGGCCGGGGCACCGGGCACGCCCCGGAGCAGGCTGTCATTACCGATAAATATAGGCCCGGGGCACGGAGCCAGCCGTGGGCAGCGGCCGGGCACGGGCACCCTGCACGCCCCTGCCCACCCTGGTGCGACCATCGTGTCCCCGCCTGGGGCTCGGGGTGCATCCCTGGGGATCCCTGGATCTCCCCGCACCCCCGTGGCCTTGTCGGGGTGGTTGGGCTCGGGTTTCCTCCCCCGGAGCCGCCGCAGTTCCCGCGGCCTCTCCCGGGGTACAGCTAATCCCGGCTGCGGGGGCTGCCGGTGTCACCCTCCGGGAACGCCGCCACCGAGCGAAGGATGGGGGGGCTGCAACCCGCGGCCCTCGGTGGCGTTTGGGACCCCCGACAGCTCCGGGACCCTCCTGTCTGACCTGTCCCGAGGGCTCGGGGCCGTATCCCCGGGCTGGCACCGGCTGTGACCTCGTCGGGTCCCGCCGGGCCCGGGGGATCCCTCTGGGGGCGTCCCCGGTGCTGCCGCGGGATCCCCAAGACGTCAGTGACCGGTGTGACGTCAGCGGGCAGGTGTGACGTCACGGAACCCCGTCGGGGGCGGGCGACAGCGAGAAGCGGGGCCGGAGCGAGGGAACGGGCGAGCGCCCGGTCCTGGGCCGCCACCTCCGGTACCCCCGGGCCGCCTCCTCCGGTACCCCCGGGCCGCCGCCTCCGGTACCCCCGGGCCGCCACCTCCGGTACCCCCCGTGCTCCCTCCGGACCCCTCTGCCGGGCTGCCCCCGCCCCCGGGGCTGCTCACGGGGCCGGGGGTTTCGTGAGGCCAGGCAGGGCCCCGGTACCGGAGGTCCTGGCAGCACTCCCGGTACCGGCTGCGGCTCTCGGGGCACCGGCCGCAGCCCCCGGTGGGACCGTGCCGCTGCAGGGGCGCTAACGGGGCAGCGCTAACGGCGCTGCCAGCCCCGGGGGCGCTGCCAAACCGGGCACAGCCAGCCGGGTCCCCCCAGAAGCCCCCGTTTGTCCCGGGAGTGGAACCGGCGGGTACGGCAAGGAACGGTACCGAGCCGGTACCGAGGTGGATCGGGAGATACCAAGGGAGTACCGGGGTGGTACCGGACGGTACCGGCTGGGGAGCTGCGGGCGCTACCGGGGGGTATCACGGGAGGTGCTGGAGTGGTACCGAAGGGTACCGGGATGGTACCGGCGGGTATTGAGGGAGTACCGGGATGGTACCGGCGGGTATTGAGGGAGTACCGGGATGGTATTGAGGGGGTACCGGCGAGGCACCGAAGGGTATTGCGGAGTTCTGGGTCCCTTCCGTTCACCCTCCGGCCTCCCGCGGGCCCGGGCCGGCTCCGCACGGGCTGAGCTCATCTTTCCAGCCCGCGGGCGCTGTTCCCGGCGCCGGCGCCCGCCAGCAGCCGCCGCTCTTTCCATCGGCCCGGCCAGGGGCTCCCCGCGGGGACCGGGCGGGGGCGGGACCCCGCGTCATCCCCCCCGCACCCGGCACCGAGCGGGAGGAGCCCGGGGGTACCGGTGCCGCTGAGCACCGGAGATACCCAGATGGGCACCGGGCAGAGCGGTACCGGGGGTACGGGAGGCACCGGGGGCACACCGGGAATGGGGGCACACTGGAGATACCGGCACCGAGAGGGCGCCGGGGATAATGGTACCGGAGATACCGGCACCTAGAGGGCACCGGGAATGGGGGCACCGGGGTACCGGCAACGAGGGGACACCGGGGATTCCGACACAAACAGAGAGAGGGGCACTGGGCATAGCGGTACCGAGGGTACGGGAGGCACCGGGGGCACACCGGGAATGGGGGCTATGAAGATACCGGCACCGAGGGGGCTGCGGGGATGCCAACACTGAGGGGACACCGGGGATAACGGTACAGGAGACACCGGCACCGAGAATGGGGGCACCGGGGTACCGGCAACGAGGGGACACCGGGGACACCGAGAGGTTACCGGGGGTGGGGACTGAAGTGATGCCAGCACCGAGGGGGCATCGGGGGTGGGCGCACCGGAGTACCGGCAACGAGGAGACACCGGAAATCCAGGCAGCAAGAGAGCGACAGGGATGGAGGCACCGGCGGACACCAGCCCCGGTGTAACGGCAGCGAGGAGACACCGAAGGGCCACCGGCTCTGGGGACACCGGGGATACCCCGGACACCGGGGCCTCCCTGCCCCCTCCGGCGGCCCCCGGAGCCCCGGGGGGGATGAGTGGGGAAGCGAGGGGCGCCCGAGCTATTTTTAGCCGGGGCCGCGGGGTATTTTTAGCCGGGGCCGCGGGTGCGTCAATGGAACCCCTCGTGCGTCACGGCCGCGCCCCCGCCGGGGCCGCCCCCCCCGTGCGTCACCGGCCCCGCGCCGCCCCGCGCGTCACCGAGCGCTTAAGAGAAAGTAGTGGCGGGGCCGGAGCCCGGCGGAGCCCGCGGAGCGGCCGTGGCAGGAGCAGGAACCGGAGCGCCGCCGCGCCGGCACCCGGGTACGGGCGGCACCGGGATGCGGGGGGCACCGGGGGCACGGGGGCACGGGGGTCGTGCTGGCAGTGGGAGGTGCACGGCGTCCCGGTGGTGTCCCGGTGGCACCGGGGGAACAGGAGCCGTTGTGTGCGCCGGGCGGCACCGGAGGGGTTCAGGTCGGGCGTGTCAGGTGGCACCGAGGGGATCCCGGGTCGGGCATCCCGGTGGCACCGGGGGCTCAGGGCGGTGTCGTCCTGCAAGGTGGATGGATGTGGGCGGGTGTCCCGGTAGCACCACGGGCAACCGGGTCGCGCGTCCCGGTGGAGCCGGGGCTGACGTGTCCGAAGGACGCTGTGGAAGGAACTCCCGGTGCCACCGGTGAGAGTCGGGGGTCCCGGGGGAAGGCACCGGGCGGTGCGCGCTGTGCGGGGCTGCCCCTTGTCGGTATCCGGTGGCACCGGGAGGAACCGAGTCGCGTGTCCCGCGTGGCGCTGGGAGGCGCACGGGATCGGGCGTCCCGGTGACACCGGCAGGAACTCGGTCAGGAGTGCCGGTAGCACCGGGGGTCGCGCACCCGGCGGGAATTGGCAGAGCGACCCCCGGCCCCGGGAGTCCCGGGAAGAGCCCGACACGCCCCTGTCCTCTGTGAGGAGCTGCGCAGCACCGGGAGCTGCTTCTTGGGCTGTGGGGGACCGGGCTGGTTCCCCCATCACGGCACCCGAACCGGGACGCAAGAAATCCCCGTGTCTGGGGATCGCAGGGGGCAGAGCCACCCCACACCGGGCATCACCCCGAGAACCCCGAGCAGAGCGGTCACGGAACCGGAGAGGGCAGCAGCGGGGCAGGCAGGAGCACGCGGGCAGCACCGGGAACGCTGCGATCTGAGATGTGCGGGCAGCACCGGGAGCTGGCAGCGCAGACGGGGATGTGCGGGCAGCACCGGGAGCTGGCAGCGCAGACGGGGAGGTGCGGGCAGCACCGGGAGCTGGCAGCGCAGACGGGGATGTGCGGGCAGCACCGGGAGCTGGCAGCGCAGACGGGGAGGTGCGGGCAGCACCGGGAGCTGGCAGCGCAGACGGGGATGTGCGGGCAGCACCGGGAGCTGGCAGCGCAGACGGGGAGGTGCGGGCAGCCAGCCCCGTGCGGGCAAAGCCCCCGCTGCCCACGCGGGCCCGGCAGCCGCCGCTGCGGCATTACCGGGCAGCAGGTGCCGGCAGGGACGTGGGCAGCGGGAGCCACCCCCGGTGCCACCGGCTGCTCTCGCCCGCCCGCGGCTCGGGGCCCGGTGCCAGCGGCTGCCACCCGCCCGTGCAGGCGGCAGCCTCGGGGCTGGGCACGGACGGGCAGCTGCCCTCCCAGCGCAGGAATCTGCAAACAGAGCCCGGCCGTGGGCAGAGCAGAGGCTGCTGCGGGAATCTGTGCCCGCTCCCCGGGGGGACAGGGCAGAGGGGACCCCAAATGCTGTCAGCGAGTGGGTGGGAGCAGAAATGTTCAAACTGGGAGCACGGGAAGGGTCGAGGCGTTGCATCTGCCAGGGTTTCCATGCAGGCAT